TGACCCCTAAGATCATTCTATGGGGTAGTTGTTGCACAACGACGTCCTGCCTGAGGGTCAGGCCACAGCAGTTCATATAGCGAACAGTGCCATGGAAAGACTATTATGGCCCCAGCGTCATTTTTTTTTTTTTTTTTTTTTTTTTTTAAAATGAGCAACACCTGCTGGCCCCAACATCATAATTGGTATGGTTAATAATAAAAAAACATGGGCTGCTTTTCGAAGCTGAAAGACCTGGCCCCTCGGTAAAACAAAACAGAAAAAGGAAAAAGGATCTACTTTTCCCTACCCTTCTTCCCCCGAATACAACTTACGGTCATTATAGCTGTATTTGAGGCATCTTTCAGTCTAGATACAGCTATAAATGACGGTACGTTGTATTCCGGGGAAGAAGGTATTCATCAGGTGCGTGGCAGTGGCTATAGTTCAGTGGTGAAACTTTTTTTTTTTTTTTTTTTTTTTGGTGAAACTTGGTACGCAGCCGGGGCTGTACAGTTGATTGGGTCTGATGATCATGAATGTGGCCTCCTTTTCAACCAGGTACGCAGCCGGTGGCTTCCCTCGCTGATAACTTGGGCCTGCTGTATCTCTCTTCGGCTGTTCGTGTAGCCTGATGGTCCTCAGCCTTTCTTTTTTTATTTTTTTTATTTTTAAGAAGGCCCTTGTGCAAGGCCTCTATCCTGGTGGTGGTACGAGAACCACCGTGATTGAGGCTTTGCCTGGCGGGCCGCTCCATCTATCGGTGGGGAGCAACACCTGCTGGAAACCGGGTCCAGCGTCCCTTAAATACATCTTTTACAAAACAGTACATCATTGAAAGTGACGCCATTGTGCTGGAAACCGGGTCCAGCGTCCCATATCCAATCTACGCTTCCATACCTAACCTGCAGCAGGGTCAGGTATTGGGGGCAGAAACACCGGGGGGCACCAGTGGAGTCTCCCTCCATCCCTTAACCCCTGCCCTCCACCTACTATCCTCATGGCGCCTATTGTGTCTTTCACGGAACATTCGATTCTTTCCTGAGAATGTACTGAGAAATTTATGCTGAGAATCGGGCTCAGCGTCCCATAAGATAAAAAACAGATGGTCAGGCCCCGTCCCGTCATCCTTAACTGAATCATTTCAAACCAGATATTAATGGAAGTGGCGCAAAACGGCGTCCCTGACGTAATAAGCATAGTTATAGGAGATTAATCGACTCATGCATCATCCCCCGGGCGCACCTCCAGGGCCCATGGATGGGGAGGAAAGGGATCAGCAAACTCCGGGGCAGGTCGTAATGGAACTCCTGGGCCCACTTTTGTCCAATCATGAAAGTGTAGTGAATAATCCCTTTTTTAGTTGGCCCCCTGCTCCTCCTTTGGAGACATGTCACCCGACCAGCACACCTTTGCCAGCCATCCCTCCCTTTTTTCCCCAAGCCAGTCCTCACAGAAACGGGAGATGATCCTATCAATATCTACCTTAGTATGCGCCAGGTTTAGATTTTCCTTCGTACTCTGCCATTGTGCAGAAATCTCGCACTGCACCAGTAGGCGCAAGGTGCTCCATAGATTCCCCCTCTTCCACCCTGGCCCCTTCCAATTCCAGAATGCATCTTCTCCACC